ACAAATCACACATTCTCACCCTTTTTTCTGCATGTCCTTCCTACCATCCGGGTTTGCACAACACATTTGTTTTATTCATATCAGGGGATCCACCCCGATCACAATTTTACATCACCAAAAAAAAAAAAAAAAAAAAAAAAAAACAACCAAAACCACAACCTCCATAGGCGGGATTTTTTCTTCTCTACTCTGCCGCCGGTCTCTTCTTCTTGCCTATTGTCCTGGGCGGCCCTTGCCGGTGCTGCCTCCGTGTTTCCCACACCGCCGAGCATGTTCACTCCCCCCTGCACCTCCACTACAGCATATGGCGGACCTCCAAATCGGAACATCACGGTGGCCTTCCGCTTCAGCTCCTTATTTTCCGCCTTTAGCACACTTATCTCTGCTCGCGCATCCTTATACATGCGCTGGAGCAGAGCCAGTTGGGCGTTTAACTGCTGCACCTCATTTGTCCTACTCTGTAGCCGATGCGACAAGTTTGTGACTGCCGTCATCGTCTCCACACATGACTTCAATGTATACTGATTGGCCTCAATATCAGTTTGCACCGCCATTTTTTGTTCCACAGACCGCATCAGTTTAACATACTTCGCATAATATTTGTAATTTTTGTAGCTCATCTCGTGTCGATTGATAATAAAAATAAAATAAAATCCAATTCAACCAATTAGTATATTGTCATTACTGTACAATATCCTAAGCAATGCAAAGCTAAAGACTGAATGCTTCGTCATTGCTGCTTCTATTTTGCAGGTTCTTATACAGAAGACCAGCCGACTTCAATGGAACCACAATGGCTGACAAGTTATCCATGCTGCCTTCTTCAAAGGCAGTCTTTACTATGCATTCGGCTGATGGATAATCGCAAGAAGGGAATAGCTTCAACATTTCATAACCTTTGGAATGCCTCACGGTTAGCTTTTCGTATATTCCCTCAGATGAAACCACTAAGTAGCTGTCGTTTCTGGTTAACTTTTAAGATGAGAGCTTATTGTAATGTGTTTCTGCTTGTTCAGACTTAAATTACGAATCTCTTCAAATTGTGTAATGTATAAAGCATCATAATAGATTATATTAAGCTAGTACTTTCTTTAATACTACATAAGCAAGAGTTAAACAAACCTCTCTTCTGCAGCAGAAATGAGACCAGCTGTCAAAGCAACACCACCAAACTAAAACAAATAACAGTATCATTAATTCTATGCTAAAAATAGTATATGTAAAGTAGTACTCTCTGCAATTTACACAAACTCCGAAACTAACCAGTTGTATGCTACAAAATAATTTTCTTTGGAGGTCTATACGCCCTGTCAATAGAGAACCAAACAGATAAGTCTTGATGTAAATCTTCCCCTATGAGAGCATATCACTTTTGAAAGCAATCTACCTGTTGAAAGAATGCTCTTTGTGATAGCTTCTGCAAGGCCAATGCAATCTTCTTTCTTTGGTTTAGTTTGAAAAAATGAGTAGCTGTCCCACATTGGGAACCCACCATTAATGCTGGAATACAAACCATCTGACATATCACTTCTTCTTGGAAATTCCATATGCCATGTGTCTTCCAGCATATCTTCTTTCCTTCATTTTCAGGGGGTTTGCTGTCAAGACCGACCTTTCAACCATTCAAAGTTCTCTTTTTTGTTCTCATGTAAAAAAACCTTTCATTTGTGTTTTGAACTTTATCTCAAATCAAGATTCAAGAATCATTTTTGCATCACAGCCAGCCATGTCTAGTTTGTTCCCCCAGAATTCAAGTTTCTCACCTGTAAGAACTGCTTCTCCACATATAAGGACCAACCCAGATGTTGATAGGTATATTATACGACCCTTTTCGATTCGATTTCGATTCTAATGATTGGGTAGTTTTTGATGAGTTTATAGCTTTGATTGAATTGGGTTTTATATGTTTCTGGGTATTCTTAATTTCTTGTAGTCAGTACTTGGCATAGCTCTTAGCAAAGCACCAGAAGCTTGAACCTTTCATGCAAGTCGTTCCCATATGCAGCCGACTGTTGAATCAAGGTTGGCAACTACCTTTGGTTTTGGATCTTGTCTTTCTATGTTTCTATTGGGTTATCCTGTTTTTTGACTAATTTCCATAATGGTTCTATTATATTATGAGAGAGAGAGAGAGAGAGAAAGAGAGAAAGAGAGAGAGGATTGGGATTGTGCATAAACCAAATTGGCTTCCAATTGGTTTTCTTGTTTTCAACTTTTTTCCAATTGAAGTTTGAAGGGATATTAATTTAAATTAAGGTTATGATTTGTGTTGCATATGTATTTAGAATTAGAGATTCTTGAATATTTATCAAAAAAAAAAAAAAAAGAGAAAATAATTAGAGATTCTTGAAGGGTGTTTGTGTAATGGCTTAACAAATTTTGGTATTTGGTGGTTCTATGTTTTGTTGATCTCAACGAGCATGAATCGATTGACACGATTCCTAGAATAGTAGGAACCCATTGGAAAATATCGTGGGGGCATGACGATTACATGTATTTGGTATGTGCCTTAGTTTCACCCCTTTAGAAAATATTCAAGTATTTAGTCAAATTTCGATCTTTAATGCTATAAAAACAGGTTGTTAATGTAATTTGGATTTTCATTTTTCAGGTGGCTAAGGAAAATGGAACAACTTTGCCTCCAGCTGCATTGTTCATCATCCGATATCACTCTTTTTATCGTAACCATGTATGCCAAAATATTTTTTTCAAATCCCAAAAATTAGTTTTATTTTAATGAATAACATGAATATCTGGATCATTCATCTTGCAGCATTACACAAGTCAGGAGCATACACACATTTGATGAATGTGGATGATGTTGAGAATTTGAAGTGGTTGAAAATTTTCAAGTAACCCCTTTTTTTTTAGCATTTTGTTTTTAATTTCATGTGTTATGCCAATATAACTAACAAAGTTTACTGTTTTGCATAAACTTTCTCGAATTTATGCAGCAAATATGACCTCTATAGTAAGAGCAAAGTGCGCATTGATGTCGAGAAGGTCAAGCCATACTATCTTTCTCTTATTGAGAAGGTGAGCACTACACTAGTCAGGAAACTAGGTGTGTAGAAACCATTTATAGAACAGTTCACTCACAAGGAGCATCTTATGAGTTTCGTGACCAGTTTCTATGCACATCTATTTTTTGAATTTTTTCTTTTTTTATCTTGATTTTTCGCATTCTTAATTAATGAACTTTTTTGCAGTATTTCCCAGCCAAGTTGAGATGGTGAACATTCCAAATTGAGGACATTGATTTGAGAAATCACAGATTTTATTTTATTTTTCTTTTTGTGATCGATTCATGCACTTGTATAAAACACAACAGAGATTTGTGGGTTCTTTGTAAATCCTCTGATGTGTTCTAGAAATGTTCTATCAATAAACAATTTAAATGCATTTGGCGGGATGTAATTTCATTCCTTTGGCATTTGTTTCTTTTAATTTCTACTGGATTGTTGACGATGAGCTTTTCTGTAGATATTATACTCTCTTTATTTAACGCTTTTGCCCAAGATAAAACATACACAGGTAGAATGATGTTGGGATTGAACTTATTGGATTTTTTTCTTGAAAGATGTTGTATTGGGTACTATTATAGATGTGAGGGAATAGTAATCTCACAGAAATATATGTCTGTACAAAGTTTTATTCATTATTGCTATTTCACAGGTATATTTTTAAAGTTAAATCTTACAAAATTAGTAGTTTAAAAAATAAAAAAAATAAAAAAAAAATCTATTGCGGCGTTTTTCAAAACGCCACTATAGTTATATTTTTAAAATAACAAAAAAGCTATTATGACGTTTTTGAAGCATCGCTGAATGACTGTGTGACGTCATGCTACCGTTGGCTGCCATATTTAGCGGCGTTCCGCCTACACTAATTTTACGACGTTTTTAAAGCGTCATAAACTTATAGCGACGGCCACATCCTCGACGTTTGGTGATAAGCGTCACTAAAGGAATTAGCGGCATTTTTCATACATATAGCGGCATTTCTAAAAGTCGTTTTTCCAGCACTGTGTAAACCAATAGTAATGCTTTTGGCTAGAAAAAGCAAAAAAATTAAAAATAAAAAATTGATTAAAAAAAAAAGAAAGTGACTCAAGATAACCCTCATTTATGTAGATACACACACCATTTGAAAAAGTAAATTCTTTAAGTCTTAATTTTACACACTTCATCGATATAACTACACAATGACAATGAGTTTTTAAGGGCACACTGTGTTTAAACTTTGCAATTAGTGCAATTGGTTAATTTCTTATGAATTTTGCATGCTATAATCCAATATTTCTAATAGAAAAATGTCATACATAAATGGATTTTTTATCTTCTTTTTTTTATTTTAATTTTACTAGGTACAAAATTAATGGATTCTATGTTTTATTAACTTTGTGTCTCTACTTGTAAGAAAATTTTGTAAAAATTAGGGAAAAATACAATTTAGTGTAAGTTTAGAAAGAAAAGGAAAAAAAAAACACACACACACACATAAGTGGTAAACTTTATAAATATTAATAATTAAAAATCTAAACTTTTTCATGTATTTATATATATTTTTCAAGAACTCACTGAATGGTAATTCTCCCTAAAAATTATTTATCTATAATATCATTCTTTTAATATTTTTCTATTTAATACTCTTTTATTAATGTGTGTTGTTGTTTCCACTTCCTATAACGGGTGCAATCGGTTCAATTTTGTTGATTTTTGTGTTATTGATGGACCACAGGGAAGTAGTCGATTTTGATAATTAAAATAACCGTTCTATGTTGTTTTGAGTCGATTTCATGCAATCAGATTGGGATTAAAATACAACAAAATAAAAAAAAATTAACCATTATGGTTAACTTGGGGTTCTGATAAACCAACAATGATCGCCAACACCCCAGCACTCAAAAAAAATTAGTAGTAACTTTTTGTAGAAAACCAACAATAAATAACAATAATCAAAACATTCACTAATTGGCGAAAATTAGGTAAGTTGTGTATTGGAAATTAAATGTATGAAAATTCCAATTGTTGGTGATAATTTAAGGAACGATTTGTATTTTGTGCCTAACTGGACATTAATTACAGTAACGTCTTAGATTCTAAAAATGCTAAACTCTTCAAATAAATTAAATTTAATATTATACCAAATATTCACATGGCACTCATGTGGGTCCCATGTGGAGTAGGTCAACACCCATATAAATATTGTGTGGAATATTTGGTAACTCATTTTGTATATTTAAAATTGTTGTTATCTTTTCTTATAGAGCAATGCTCATAAATTAAATGAAATTAATTATAAAATTAAATTATAATTGTCACACAATGCCACATAAAATAAGATCTTTAACTTTTGCCAATAAAAAGCCTTATGTCCCAACTAAAAATATCATTCAAAATTCAATTGATGGTGAAATGAACGCATTAAACAGTGTTTATGAGAAAATCTGAAATTAGATCTTAAAGTTTTGGACGCGAGGAAGAAAGTTTGAGCGCAAACTAAATATCAAATCTTGTGGCGGTGTGGTGGTGTGGTGGTGGTGGCACCGAAAGGATTGGAAGGACAAACTTCTAATATTTTTAAGCAAAAAGACGAAGAAAAGGAGAAAAATGAGGGAAAGGAGGAGAGAGAAAGCCAGTGGCTAGAACCCCTTCCCACCATGGCGACACACCCAGTAGAAGGCTTAGAGAGGGAAACTTAGAGAAAGATGCTCCATTTAGAAGGATTCTAAATTACAAAATGTTACTTTAGTATATCGACAACTTCATTATTGTAATAACCCACATTCATGTCTTAGTCATGTTCATGTTCATGTACATTTGCATGATTTCGTCTTGTTAAGCTTGCATTTGTAGACTTAGACTTGTTTTGCCTAGGTAAAAGTCCCTGTCTTGTTTTGTGCTTATGTGAGTTGCCTAAGTGTTGTATGCATGCTTTGTTCCTTCCTTGCTGTCTCAAGCCTAGGTCATGCCAAGACTAGGTCATATTAAGCCTAGGTCATGCCAAGCCTAAGTCATCTTAAGCCTAGGTCACACCTTTGAACCTCTTACACCTAAGACTATATTGGAACCACTTTGGTTGACCTCCACCTACACTCTAGCATATTGGCCGAGACGTCATCATTTAGGGCGAGGTGTGCAACACCTAGGCCGAGATGTGTTTCATCTAGGTTGAGATGTTATCATCTAGGCGTCCAACATCTTTGATCCCTGCACCTAGCGATCTTGTTCCGGGACTGGTATGACCTAGACCGAGGTGTGGCACATCTAGGCCAAGGTGTGGCACAGCTAGGTCAAGTGTTATCCTTCCTAGCCGAGATCATTGAAACCTTCTTGCCGAAGCCTATGTCCTAATCCGAGACCATTACCTGCCGGAGTGCCCATGTCACCTTGCTTGTTGTACACCCTTTGTCATGCTCTTGTCTTGTCATTCAGTCACCTTTTTGAGGAAACCCAATCCTGTAGTGCCACATGCCCCAGCAGAGGGTTAAGTCAGCCAACAGAGAGAGAAAACATATCATTTGTCATATCTTTGCCTTTGAAGAGAGAGAAGCTCTAGGAAAAAGGAAGAAGTTCTTA